CTTGAGTCATGTATGTTGGATAACCTGTCACTTCAGCTGAGTTCCCTCAGATAGAATGTACCTGGGAGGAATGCACAGGGAGGATTTGATCTCAGGGTATTCATAAATTATGTCTGGAGGTTCAAAAATTGGGGTGAAAAGGCATAGCCCGGGGTATCAGTGAAATTTTTAGAAGAAAAATAATAATGATAATAATAATAATGAAAATATAACAAACAGGTTGCTTCTGAGGGAAAAAAAGCCTTACAATCATTGTATCTGAAGAAAAATACAAGTCTATGTCTTCAGTGCAGAACTCTTCTGCAGCTAACTGCAGTGGTCTTCTGTGTACCAGACAATCTTCTCCCAGTTCAAAAGGAGTTTCAATTCTTTTTTTGTCTGTTTGCTTCTGCACCGCTACCCCCCATTCCTGAAGACAGTATTACACCTTGAGGGATAGCTGGAAAGATTTGTGCCAGAAGTGTTTGTGAAAACAATGGTATTAGTGTCATATTTGTATTAATCAGTTGGATAGAAGAGTTAAAGTTTATACATCTTTTAATGACATTTTCTTCTGAAACATCAATTGAAATAAAGAACACTTTTAAATGTCCCTCCCAAAAGGATGTTTTTCATTCCTGCCTTTTGTGACCTTTTTTTTTTCTTTCTTTAGAACAAACTGTTGTCCCCTTTGAGTCGTTTTGGTTGGTTGATGACTTTAGAGCAGGGTATTGCCTTCTTTTCTCTTCTCCTTAAGTCTGAGTATAAGGGGAAGGGACGTGTCAAGACAGGCACTTGAACTAAAATGGAGTATTTTCTCTTTGGACAAAGGAGCTGAATGAAACCACGTAAAAAGTCCCGTGACATTCCCACAGAATCATAGAATCATTAAGGTTGGAAAAGATCTCTAAGATCATCGAGTCCAACCGTTAACCCAACACCACCATGCCCACTAAACCATGTCCCTAAGCGCCTCACCTACACGTCTTTTAAATACTTCCAGGGATGGTGACTCTACCACTTCCCTGGGCAGCCTGTTCCAAGGCCTGACCACTCTTTCAGTGAAGAAGTTTTTCCTAATGTCCAACCTAAACCTCCCTTGGCGCAACTTGAGGCCATTTCCTCTCATCCTATCACTATATGCCAATAAACTCTTACTTTGCCATCAACATAGAACTGTAACAGTCACTCATGAAAAAAAAGGGAATTTGTGAAGGAGAGTAGTTTCATTGGTACCTAGGTACAGTATTTTCAGTGAACCTGGTTGTGTGAACTGCAGTCTGGTTTCTGTAAATGTGAGTCTTGAGGGTGGGCTCCTGTCAGGTTCCCCTGTGCCTTATGCTCAGGCCACAGCCTGCACCCACCTGTATGCAGATGGCTTCTGGAATCACTAAAGGTTGAGGAGCTTGATGTCTGGAGACTTCAGTCCTGTGTGAGACTGATTGATTGGAAATTCCTGTGTTGAAAGTTACAGGAAAAGGAGTAGGTCAGAGTGATGCAGTGCAGCTGTGTAACTCTAGTATCTATGGCAAAAAAAATTTAAAAAGTAAATTTAATCTTTTTTTTAACACATCTTGAACCCTTGGGGAAATTTGAGGGTGTTAGCAGCTGATCAGAGAAAGGGAAGAGTGGAGGAGAGTTTGCCAACATTGGTGACAACAGTTACAGAATTTCAGTCTGGTCTAGTCTGGCCCTCTGCGAACACGAAGGATATGCATGAGGTTATAAACACTATAGCTGATATAAGGCGAGAGTAGCATTGCTGCCTAGAAGGTAAAATCCCTCGATTTCAGGATTATTTATATCTGGTTTGGGCCTACCCAGATCTGAGCAGAAATTTGAGAGCACCTAAATGCTGAAGGTTGGTTGAGGGTTTTTTGTGGTTGTTTGTTTTTTGTTTGTTCAGGTTTTTGGTTTTGTTTTGGGGGGGTTTTTTGGTTTTGTTTTGGGGGG